TCCCGCACTGCAGGGCTGGCTGGAGGGCCTCGGGGAAGGGGCAGAGGCAGGTCCAGCCCATCGCCGGGCAGTGGTGCAGCAGCCCCGGCTCACCCAGCCCCGTCTCTGCCTGAGAGTCTCTGCGGAGGAAGGAAGGCTTGGAAGGGGCAGGCCTGTTGCAGGAAAACACCTTCGGCTGTAGCAGAGCTGGCCCACATTGAACAACAGTAAGACGTAAAGGCAGCAGCCTATTAGAGGTTTGTGCGCAGACCCTGGGTTTGGAGGAATTCCAGCTGCTTTCTGTTTAAGTGGGGTCTCAGTTCGTGGACACTGGAGTTTACTTCGCTTGTTTTAAAAAATGCTTTCTGACGGTCAGGGCGGGGCAAACCTCAGCTCAGTTTGCGTCGGAATCAGGTTGGAGTCCCAAGAAAGTGGGATCTCAATTTCTGTGGTTTCACTTAGGAAGTTAATGTGGGTCCCCTGAGAAGCGCTGCCAGGTCAGCTTAGATTTAAATTAGATGGCAGGAGATTTATTGGGGAAAAGGCCTCTGGGGAGAAGTGGGGAGGGATCTAGAGAAAGCTGGGAAAGCCATCAGACTGCAAAGCAGATGGGACCCATGTGGGTAGAGAGGCAAGGAGGGAAGGCGGGGTGGGGAAGTCTCAGGCTGCAGTGCTGTTCTACGGAAAGTTTGGCAAAGCTCATGGGGTGTCCTCCAGCCCCTTCTTCCAGGACCTGGCCTGGCTTGGTATCCTGCCTGTCCAGGCTTCCCCGGGAGCAGCCTGTGGGGAGTGTGGTTTTGCATTGACCAGCGGTGAAGGATTTCAGAACTGGGCAGCTGGGGCTGCTGGTGCCCAGCACTCATGGCCATCGTGGGAAGGATAGTAGAGGAGTTGATGTCAGGAGGTGTTGCAAACTCATGTGACCACAGGGGCTCAGATGATGAAAGTGAGAAAAGTGAACAGTAGCCCTACTAAGCATGGGGACTGGCAAATAATAGAGAGTAGGTTTCTGGCCTGATGGCTTCCATGTGGGAATGCAGAGCCTCATCATATGATCTTTAGAGAGAGGAGCCAGCACTTGAGACTTTTAAAATCTGAAGTGTCTCAATTGATGAAATACTGCATGGTCCAAGCATATCTCAGGGTCCAGTAGTGGTCCTTTGTGATCTCTGGGACATTCTCTCACCAGGGCTCTAGGGCCCAGGCTTCAGCAAGACATTAAATAAGGGCAGATAGAAATGACACTGGCCCTACTAATCTGCTGTCTAGGAAGAAGTCAGAAAAGCAAGACGGTCACTGGCTCTAGGGCCAAAACCAGGGTGAGGCAAGGGAGGTGCCTGGGCACAGCACTGAAGGGAGCACCCATCCTCAGGGCCCGCCTGTGCTTGCAGGGCCCTGAAAGTGAGTGCCTACTTAGATTGGGCAGGGTAGGTGCCTCACTTGCTTTGCCTTAGTCCCAGCCTTGATGCCACTGCCCCTCTGAGCACCTTCTCGTTTGCACAGATCCTGGCTGTTTAAGATGACTCCCTGTGGCACCTCAGCCCCACTGGCTCTTTAACCCCCTTCATGACATCCTCTGGGTCTGCGATGTACTGAGTCCCCTATTCTGCTACTTGTTAACCTAAAATCCATTGCAGGTGAACATCACCGGAGGTAGTGGTGTTAGGCTGACATATTACTCCGGCCAGGTGATGTGTGCGTTTTCTTTCACGTGGCCCACCTTGGGACAATGCCTCACTCCAGAACTGATAATGGGAGTTTCAAGCTCTTTGTGAGACTGACAGGGCAGCTGGGACTTTAAAACCCAAATTTCACCACCTATTCCTATGTAGGGAACCAGCCTGCATCTTAATCCGGGATTAAGATTAAGGATGTTCAAAAGGCCTGAAATTTAAGCTAATGGAAGTGCAATTCCATTCAGCCGAGCTTTGTTGGACACCTACTATGTGCAGGCAACTATGAGCATAACCATGATCTGAAGAGCACCTGTCTCATTTTAGAGTTATTTCTACATGTGACAGCCTTCCCCACCGGACAAAGAGTTTCCCCCGGCCAGGGACTTTATGTCACTCCCTCCTATGCCACACCCTGCCCTCTGTCCCCTGAAGTGACCTCAGCCCCAAACACGGTGGCTCTGGCTCAGAGGAAAAGCTAGTGAACAGCACTGAGCTGGATAGAACTGGATACAGTAGGTGGGGGCAGGCTACCTCTTGGTCCCACATGGGGAGGTGGCTGGAGGGTGCAGAGATGCACAGGGAAGAATCGTGGGGCTGTCAGCTGAGGACCACAGGGCTGCCCATGTGCTGGGGGTGTGGTCAGAGGGGCCTCTTCACAGGCCAGGCTCTCCCTGGCACCACACCGGACCCCTCAACTTTCACTCCCTTCCCCCGGAGCGGATGCTGTTCCCTACTTCTCAACTGAAACTCTGTTTGATTTGCTCCATCCCCAAAAAGGTCTTCCAGAACATGAGGCTTGGGACCTAAGGTGATGCTCAAACTATTTAATCCCCAGCAAGGCAGAGGCACCGGCCAACCAGAAGAGAGCCTAACACTGAAATGCATCCTGGACCCCTCAGTAGTGACAGTCATTAACCCTCTCATTGCGGGCTCATGGGGAGGTCCAGGGGACAAGTTGGGTATCTGGGGTGGGGGTGGCAGTGGGCATGCCCTGGGGCACTAGGACTCAAGGTTTTCATGAGAGATGCACCTGCACAGGGCATGCTGGCGGGTGTCGGCCTTGTCGCAGCTCGACTCAGCCAATCCTGACTAATGTTTTTCTCCCATTCGCAGATAAACTTACAGAGGAGGAGTTCATCGAGGGGACCCTGGCCAATAAGGAAATTCTGCGGCTGATCCAATTTGAGCCCCCAAAAGTGAAGGAAAGGTTAATGGAAAAGGACAAGAACCCCTGATGCCAACCGCTCAGCCTTCCTGCCTCCCCTTACCGCTCATAAACCCTCGCACGCAGGTGCACACGCGCATGCGCACAAGCACACCCAGCAGCCGAGAGAGGCCTCCAAACCCCCCGCACATTAAACCTGCAGCCCAACGCCCTGCCCANCTCAGCCTTCCTGCCTCCCCTTACCGCTCATAAACCCTCGCACGCAGGTGCACACGCGCATGCGCACAAGCACACCCAGCAGCCGAGAGAGGCCTCCAAATCCCCCGCACATTAAACCCGCAGCCCAACTCCCTGCCCGGTGGAAGTGTCTTTAGCAGTCTACTGCTTCTTTCCTCCCCTGTCACAACCGCCAGCCCTCCCCTGCCCACCAGCCCATGCCTCCCATGATAATCCCAGGATTAGGTCACAGGAGTCCTAAATATCCCCCCGTGTAAGCTCCTTTGTGGATTGCTGGGTAAGCAGGTTCCAATAAATGCAAGAGTTGCGGGGCACACGGCGGCTGGTTGTTCTCGAACTGGAAACGGAAACGAGCTCTGCGGGCTCAGCCTCAAAGGCGGGGGCGTGTTGCCATTGCAGTCAGACCAGGGTGCTGGGGCTGTGGTGTGAAGGAGGGGGACAGGGCTCAGGGAGCAGAGGGGACTACAGACCTGGAAGAGGCCATTTCAAGTGGGGAGGTTACCGTGGAGACGTGCAAAGCACTGTGAGATGTAACAGGGGGGGCTGCCTGGCCCAGAGGGTCAGAGAAGGTGTTCTTGATGGGGGAAAGGGCAGGGCGGGGAAGCATGGTGTCTCAGAGAGACCCGAGGCAGGAATGAGCATTTCCTGTGAGGAGGCCAGGGCGGTGAGCGCAGAGGGAGGAGGGACAGCCCATGGGGAGTTAAGCCTGAGAGGCAGGCAGGGCCAGACCACACCAGGCCTTCCCTGCAGCCCTGGGAAGCATTCAGCTTCCCCTTGGGGAGAGTGGGCACCATTGTGGGGTTGGGAATAGGGGGGATCCATGTCTGTAAGGGTGCCCTCGGAAGGGTAGAAATAAATCAGACGGCAACACTGGGAGCAGGGGCCTGGAGATGACATCTTCATAGTTGCCTGGGTGGCCTAGGCTGGGGAACAGCAGTGGGCTGGAGAGAATGGGGCCACTCTGGAGGCACCCAGGAGGGAGAATCCACCTGGCCGGCTGCAGGTGGAGGAGGGCGGAGTAAGGATGGCAAGCAGGTGTGTGGCTTGGGTGCTGGAGGAATAGTGATGCCACCTGCCCAGATGGGAAATGGTGTTATCTCTGCTTTCAGGGGATAATGGCAAGTCTAGTTCTGATATGGTGAGAGGTAAAGACAGGTGTCCTGGAGGCTCCTCGTTTTAGAGACAGGAAGAGGAGGCCCAGAGGCAGCTTGCCTGGGTCAGCCAGCTCATGAGCAGAGGCCAGGCCAAGGCTGCCACTGGCTGCATTGCCTTAGCAGAGCTCCGGGGCCTGGGATACCCCAGAAGTCACTCCTCCAGTGGGTTCTCAAGATCACTGGAGTCATTATTTGGAAGGCCCACTTATTCTCCAGCTTTAAGTTCCAAGAGGAGGTGAGAAAAATATACAGATGTCCTGGACACTTCACCCACCCGTGTGCAACCGCCTGAAGCAGAGGAGTCTCAGCTGGCTGGAGTTGGGGATGATTTCTGCCCCCACCCCCTGCTTTAGCCACAGTGATGGCACAGTCACCACCACCAGAGAGTGCTGCTTTTTGTGGAGGGGGAACTTGAGAGTAATCCTAAAACTTAGGTATGAAGCCAGGCATCCTGCTAGATGCTCAGGCTTATTTCAGTGATGGCAGTGTTATCCCCATGGTATAGATGGGGACACTGAGGCCACGAAGTGAGAGTAGGATTGGGTACTTAAACCCGACTCCCTTTGATGGCACTAGGCTGCCTCGATAGGATGACCTGGAGATGACAGGATAGAGAATTCTGTGATCCTACAACATTGAAGCTGGAAGGGAGAGGGGGCTACACAACATCTGGTCCAGTGGGTTTGGGAGGAGGAGAGTTAAGATTAAAATCAACTGCCAAGACACCCCTCTGGTATCAGACACAGTGGGCCACCCAGGAGCCAACACAGGGGAGAAGAAAGACTTGGGTCTAGCCCAGGGTGGTCTCTTGATAGAACCGAAGGGCTCAGTGCCTCCTATAGTGCTCCTTCTCCGCCCCCCACACCACCTTCTATGAATGACTCTGGCGGGTTGGGATGTGAGGTTGGGGGCTTTTCTCTCTGAGGTCAGGGCATCCATGTCACTTGAGTCTAAAATGATAGATACTGCATAATGACAGTGTCGGTCTGAGGTTCAGTGAGAGATGTAAAGGGACCACTGAATCTCCTACTGGCCAGGGAAGAACCCAAGAGTGGTGGCCTAATTAGCACATCTTACTTTAGCTTGGGGTGCCCAGGCTACATGGCCTGGGGTCCTGTATAGCTCTAGGGCTGCCTTGGGGAAGACACTTAGAGAACCCAGAATCAGTGTCAAGCCCAACATGACGGGTGAAAAGAGAAGGAAGGAAGGTAGTGATGAACTATGTCATCAAGACTCTTCCACATGCAAGGGTCAGAAGTCCCGACACAGATTGTTGTGGCACAAATAGGAATCTACTGATTCATGTAACTGACGTGCCAGGAGCAGCACTAGGTGTAGGTCTTGCTGGGTCGAGGGACTCCCACAGTGTTTCAGGGCTCCTTCTCCATCTCCTGGGTCAGCTTTCTGCTGCGGGGCCTCCATTCTCAGGCAGGCTTTCCCCCGTGCTGGCAAGAGGCCACCAGCAGATCCAGGCTGACTTCATGTTTCTAATTTCAGCAGAAAAGAGAAAATAACTTTCTATTGTGAGCCTTAGCCAAAATCCCAGGACTGTCTCTGATTGGCTAAATGCCCATCCCTGATCCAATATCTGGTGCCAGGAGGAAGTCATGCTCAGACTGGCCGGGCAGATTTTCATGTCCATCCTTGGGGCTGAAGGTGGAGTTGGGATAATTCAACTTCTGGGACCAGGAGTGGGAGATGTGTGGTTTCCAAGAGGAAAATGGGGATGCTATTAGTATAAGACGGATGAATTATAAAAACAAATGTCCACTATGGACACTTCGGGAAGTCCCTTCACCTCTGAATTTCTGCTTCCTCGTGTACACATGAACTTGAGGGCAGAGATGTGTCTCATCAAGAACAATAAGCCAAACTGCCCTGTCCCCTACTGCCATCTGCTCTCGCAGGATCCCAGCCTCGTGTGTGGTGCCCCTCGGGTATTTCTTAGCATCCGCACAGATTCACCAACATTCACCTCAGTGCCAGAAACAGTGCACCGATTCTCTTGGGCATGAGAGACCTTCAGCTCCAGCGAGAAACAAATGCGAAAGAATCAACAAAATACAAATCAAATTTAAAAACTTGCTATTTTATTATTTTTTTGAATTTATATTTATTGTTGAAAGTGTTACAGATGTCCTATTTTCCCCCCCATTGACCCCTTCTACCCCGTACCCATCCCCCCACCCCCAGGCCTTCGCCACACTGTCGTCTGTGTCCAGGGGTCACGCACACGTGCATGTAAGTCCTTTGGTTGATCTCTCCGCAGCTCCCACCCACCCCCGCCTTCCCTCTGAGAATCATCAGTCTGTTCAATAAACTCATTATTTTAATCATTAGCAGGACAAAAGTGAGTAGTGTGTGTGTGTGTCACCTCATGTGTGGAGTGAGGGTGACAGACATATTTACAAATGCTATGGAAAAACAACAACTTCCTAATGACAGGGCCCTGGATAGTTAATAAATAACCCCGACAGCATCTGCCACTCCCGGGGCATTTCTGTCGTGTCCACTTGATGCGTTTATAGAGGGCACCCACTCTGAAGCAGCTGCGCGGGGTACACGCCGGGAAGGCCGCATGGCCCGGGCTTTCCAGGAGCGAAGCAGCTCGTGAGAAGTGGCAGGGACATTCGCAGAAAGGAAAACTCAGAACACATGACTGCACCCGGGATAATCTGGATACTGAAAACCAAGCTTCTGCCTGCACTTGCCTGTGCCTTTGCTTCGGTCTCCCCAGGCACAAAGCAGAGCCAGGACCAGGCGAGGGGAAGATGAGCAGTGGCCTCAGATGCACAATTGAAGGGGAGGGGGCAGAAAACTCAGTAACCAAAATAAATAGTATTTTAATGCAATCATTTAAAAATAAAAATTAATGCTAAAATGTCCATAATGAGCAATATTAAAATGTTCAGTAAAGCCAGGATCATAAAAGCATGAGCTGGACTGACTCTCCTCACCTCACTGTGGCCCTGGTTTCAGCAAAACATTATTTGTATAATGGCCCGTGGGCTGTAGTTTGCGGATTTGATTTTTTAAATTATTGGATTAAAATAGTCCTGATCTTGAGAATTGAGTTTTCTTTAGTTCTCTCTTAAATTTGACACCCTCGCTTGCCTCCCGTCCCAGCCCTATTGCAAAGTGTCCCTGAAAAGAGTTGCCAGGTAAAATACAGGGTGCACAATTAACATGGAATTTAGATAAAGTATGTCCCATGGGATATACTTATACAGAAAGGTTATTGGTTTATGNTAGTTCTCTCTTAAATTTGACACCCTCGCTTGCCTCCCGTCCCAGCCCTATTGCAAAGTGTCCCTGAAAAGAGTTGCCAGGTAAAATACAGGGTGCACAATTAACATGGAATTTAGATAAAGTATGTCCCATGGGATATACTTATACAGAAAGGTTATTTTTTATCTGGAATTCAAATTTAATTGAGCATCATGTATTTTTATTTGCTAAATCTGGCAACCCTACTTGAGAAGTAACATATAGAACATATAGTATTTAGTCCCATGGCAACATGCCCCACCCACATGCACATACATTTTACATACTATGAAACTGACATTCCTGGGCACTGACACCCCCTTCTCATAGGATGTTCCTCCTTTGATCTTCTGTCAGCTTCTTGCCTCGCAGTTTCAGCCACTGAGCCAGACCCTAATTGCCCCTCAGCCTCCGGAAGCACCCTCTTCTCAGGGTCTGGAGCACAACTCCGATTCCTCCTGGGCAGACCCAGCCCCACAGGCCCGGCCCTCCACGTGCCCCTCTGCATGTCAGCCCAGCCCCATCCCTTCACCGGGCCCCTCCGGCGTTCAGCATCCATTCCCATAGGGGGAGTAGAATTCTGACCAGTGGGGATCAGGTCAGGGAGAGCAGTGGGCAAGCCTGGAGCACCAGTGTGGCAGCGGCAAACCAAAAATGGCAGAGAATGGGAGGGCAAGCAAGGCTTGAAGAAGCCAAGCTCAGAAGGGCGGGAGCCAGAAAGGGGAGGAAAGGACCAATGACAACTTTCAGAGAGGCCTGGGAGCTGGGGCCCACCCTGAGAGGAAGGAAGGGGTTGTTATGAATCAAACAGAACTTCTGCGGACCATGGATGAACAACTGAGGTGGCAGAGGAAGAAAAGGCTGGACGAGAAAAGGAATCAGGCTCTGGGCGGCGTGGGGTTCCACACTGTCTGAGGAGGGCTGGCATGTCACAGCTGGACAGTTGACTTCAGATCACCACGGCTCTGTCCCGTCATTGGCTAGCTCAGGAGGCTGTTAGTTCCTGCACACCCCAGCTTGCATCGGAATTACCTGGGATGCTTGTCACACAGCTCCCATTGCTGGCCGTCACTCCAGGCTCACTCTCTTAGGACCTGCCAGGAGTCGAGCTTTGCATGTGAAACCTTCCCAGGTGGTCCTTTTACACCCTAAGCCCAGCCTCAGATGTAAACCTTGTGCCATAAGGGGTAAAGGAAGAGATGCTGGCTGCCCCCTATTTCATAGCAGACATCGCTCTACATCTTGGGCCTCCGCTCACTTGAATTTACAGCCCACCCTGGAGGCCGGTGGTCATTCTGGAACACATGGCAGTGGGGGTTAGTAGATGACAATGGCAGACAGAGTAGTGAGTGTTCACATAACCTCATCAGAGCACGAAGAATCTTGAGACAGACTTCAGGTCAAAGTGGGCCCAGTGCACGGGAAGAGTGGTGACTGCACCCACAGCATCCCCTCCCTCCTCCAGCTCAGGAGCCTGCCTACATCTCACTCTCTTCGAGAATCTCCTCCATGGTATGGGCCAGGGTCAAGTCCCCCTCGCTGCTCTCAGACAGGCTGCCACCCCAGCGCCAGGCTGTGTGGCCGCGGGGGGACCGGGCACCCTGCTCCCCCTGGCCCTGCACGGTCAGCTGCAGGAGCTGCCCACTGCCGGGCGAGGACAGCGGCTTCTGCAGTGCCCTGGCACTGCCTCCCTGGGAGAGCTTCTTGGGACACTTCCCCAGGAATCGGAAGTTCTTCTGCAGGGCCCAGGCTCTGCAGCCCGAGTGGTGGGCCAGCAGGAAGCGGAGCCAGTGCCTCCGCAGCTCGGCCTTCACCTGCCAGGCAAGAGGAGGGCAGTGTTACTGTCTCGGAGTCATTTGGTCGTGGGTCCACTCAACAGGTATGTATTGAGAGGCTACTCCATGGGACCCGTGGGAAACTTGTCTTCAAATTGGGGGAGATAAACAGAGGAGCGAACAAACACCTGTGAGCCTCGAAGATGGTGTTGGCACCGTGAATCCACAAGCCGGACAATGGGGAAGGAGACAAAAATTTGGGATATGGTTAAGCAGAGGAAAAATGTGTTGAGGTGGCATTTGCAAGGTGGCATTTGAGGCCCACCTGATGGGTGAAGAAACAGAAGCAGCAGCCATGAGCAGGGTGGAACAGGGTTTGCTGTCAAGAAGCTTGCACTCCAGTGGGAGGAGACAGAAATAAATATTTAAACCTGGACAGGGGAAGGGGACGAGGAAGGGGAGGTGGACTGGAAATCCACCAACTCTAAGGTCAGGAGAAAACTGTTCTGGCCTCTGCCCCTTTCAGGCCTCTTTCCAGAGGAGCAGAGAGCTGGTTGGGGATATGTAATAATATTAATAATAAAAATAATCAGCCCTGGTTGGTGTGGTTCAGTGGTTGGCACGTCAGCCCACCCACAGAGGATCACAGGTTAGATTCCCAGTCAAGGGCACAAACCTGGGTTGCAGGTTTGATGTCCAGCCCTGGATGGGGCACCTGCGGGAGGCAACCAATCGATGTGTCTCTCTCACATCAATGTTTCTCTCTCTCTCTTCTTCTCCCTTCCTCCTCCCCTCCCTTCTACTCTTTCTGAAAAGCAATGGAAAAAATATCCTCAGTGAGGATTAGCAAAAAAAAATTAATAAAAATAACCCTAGTTATCAGGTATTGGGACTTTACCATGAGCTCAGCATGCCCAGGGCAACATTAGATAGGGGTAGTTAGTCCCACTTTACAGATGAGGAAACTGAGGCTCAAAGAGCCACAGTGACCTAACTCAGAGCTCCTAAGTGAGTGAGTGATAACTTGAGTCCAGATTTTTGGACTCCGAAGTTCAAGTTTGTTTCCTCTCTCACACTAACACTCCCAGAACGTCTCCAGCAGGGCCAAGGTTGGGTTTCTAAGCTTCCTTACACTCATCCCATCCCTTTTTCCCATTTCTCTAAGCTGCCTCCTGCTCTCACCCCTAGAAGTACAAATCTGTCCCATTGCATGATGGTCACTGAACACTCCCCATGGCCCCATCACAAAAGACAGGAAACCCTGGGGACAGTAGGACGCCAGGCCAGCCTCACAGGAAGCTAGGATGGGAGCATGGAAAACATACCTCTCCATTGGCAAAGCAATACTGCAAGGCCACAAGCAGTCCCTGCAATGAAGAGAAGAGGCGGCATGAACTTTGATTCGGTAGCAGATGTGTCTGAGAGTTACTTGGAAAGTCCAAAGGCCTTCCTGTTCCGAGCAGCCCACAGGAGAGGCAGGCAGCTATGCTGCTTGCACTGACCGTGAGGTCTCTTCTTACTGTGACACCCACCATGCATATCAGCCTCGGCGTTTGCTTAGGTGCTCGTAGGTCAGTGAGAGGATTTTATCATTCATTCAACTATGCAAATCCTGTCCGAGCCCACTGCCCCATTTCTACTCGTCCATAGTGGGTACTGGTTAATTGTTTCCTTCACTTGAATCCTTTCTTCTTGGAGACTGACCCCCTTACTCCCTAGACTTCTGGTAGGGTCAACCATATGCTCCCCATGTTCTAGGATGACCATCACCACAATATAATCAGCCCAAATGGTCATGTGACCCAAGCGAGGCCAAGCTGAGTTCTTTTTACTGGAAAGCAGAGAGAGTTGTACTCTCTTCCTTAGGCTTGCCAGTGTTGTAGCTAATGTAAGCTGGAGAGACTTCTGGGCATCTTGCCAGCTACATGGTGAAAAACCATCTGAGAATGATGTCAACGGAGAGAAAAGCAGAGGCTGGAGATGGTGGAAGGCAGAATTCTGATGATATTGTTTGAGTATCTGGATCCAGCTATGCCCGATTCTCACATTTTTATTTATGTGAGATAGTAAATACCCCTTTCTCTTGTCAAAATATTTCTTTTGAAATGATAGATAATGTCACACCAGTGGTTTCTCATCACACTAAGAGTAAAATAAAATGTCACCACAGAAGGCACTAAGGTGATCTGGGCTGTGTCTGTGTCACTGACTTCACCCTGTACCTTGCTGCCCCTCAGCCACTATGTTCCAGCCACACAGGCCTCCTGGCTTCCCCAGCATCTCAGGCTCGTGTATTTTGTTGTATATCTCTGTGGACCAAAACAATCAAGGTTTATCATCTCACAGACTTTCTATGGGCCCAGAATCTGGCAGTGGCTCAGCTGGTAGTCTGGCTCAGGGTCATTTTTCAGGTGGAAGTCAATAGGTTGGTTGGAACCTCGTCATCTGAAGGCTTGACTTGCTTTCACGGTGGCTCACATGCCTGGCAAGTTGGTGCTGGTTGTTGGTAGGAGGCCTCAGCACCTCTCCAGAGAGCTGCGTGAGTGTCCTCATGACACGGTGGCCGGCTTCCTCCAGAGGGCGCAATTCAAGGGAGCAAGGCAGAAGCCACAATCTCCTTGTGACCTGCCCTGAAAAGTCACATACCTTCAAGTCCACACTACTTTAATGGTCACACATCCCCCGTATCAGTGTGCGAGAGGACTACACAAAGCCTCGAACACCAGGAGATAAAAAGCGTTGGGAGCCACACTGGAGACCGGCTACCACAGCCCAGCTCCTCAGGCCCCTTCTTACCTTTTGTCTTCTGAACCTCCCTTCTTTCAAATCTCTGCCTAACTCACTCCTCAAAATTCAGGTCCTAGCTCAAATAGCACCTAAAAGAGAGGACTTTCTTGACCACTCAGGGTGACCATTCTAGTCTCTCACAGAACTCTGTTTTATATTTTATATTTTTCACAACGCCAGAATTATACTATTTATTTGTCAAGGTGGTTATTATTTGTCCCTACTCCCGGCCACCCAAACAAGACTAGCATCTTCACCTAGTCTTCACTGCCAGGTCCCCAGCACGTAAAACAAATGCCTGGCGCATAATGGGAGCTCAACAATATTTGCTGAATGAGTGAGTGAAGGGGTTGGGTTTCTGTCACAACTAAAAGAGCCTTGCCTTGTACATTGTCAGGCACCTTGTAAAATACGATAGGACCATTTCTTTCTGTTCTCTCCCTAGTTATTTATAATTGTGGACACAAGGGTCATGATGAAAACAACAGGCCACCTTTATATGGCATTTTCAATTATAAAGGATTTGTGTCCGGGAAGTTTCAATAAAGAGGTCATCTCTTGACGTCGGAAATTTTTTCTGGATTCATTGCTTAACTGCCAGAGGTCTGGAATCAAAGACGCTTGAGCTGATGTTTGTTTCCACTGTTTTTCCAGACTCCTACGCTTCCTGATCTGTTAAAGTCACATGTGATAACCTACATGCCATGGCTTGCCCTGTGACGTGAGGGTCTGTGGGACTCGGGCTGTGTGTCTGATATATGAAGCTGGCTATGTGTACAGGACCCAATTCCTTGATTGTTTACGGGAAGAAGCTCATAGAATGCCAGAACTCACCAGGAAAAAACACATTCCAACGTGAAGTCCACAATGCAGGCTGCCTCTCCCACTTCTCTTAAGAATATTTTTCTCAACCCTGTTGCTGGTAAGGGAGGTTCAGTACTGGTAAAAATGATGAAATTGAGAAGGAATTATAAAATATGGGGGAAGATTTTTATGCTCTTCCTCATGGAAGCCAGAAATCTTCATGCTGGCTGTCACATCAATCAAATGCTTGGGTTCTCCCCACCAGTGTGGAATTTTCCTCCTCTTATGCAGCTAGATATTCCAAGGATATAGCTCCTAAACAGGACATGGTGGTACCAGTTAATCACTGCACACATGCAACCTCATTGGCGGTTCACAGGGGCCCTGTCTAGTTGGCAGGGCCAGTGGTATTCGCCTCTGGGCACATGTATTAGCAGCGTGGCCTAGACCATGCAGCAACCTCACGAATGAGCTAGCTAAAATAGGGTTCCACATCACAAGCATGTCTTCATTCCCTCGGGTTTTTGATTCACTGTTCCTGGAACATCCTGGAGTCTGGTTAACTCTCATTCTAGATAAAGCAAGTGAGATGGGAGAGGTGCCACGAAACATGCCTCACCACTTGGCAGTCGCTCCAGAGATTCCTTGATGGTAAGAAGCTGATGAAAATCGCTAAGCAATAAGCCCTTGGAGGAGTGAAGGTCCCTCCACAGCAGCAAGAAAAGGAAGCTGTTGGATCCAGTGCTGATTCCTGATGATTCACTATGCTAGAGCCCACCAGATATGCGCCCGCTCATCTGCCCACCCATATTCTCACCTCCGCCAGGTGGGATGGAGGGGAACAGTGCAGGGCTATTCAGAAGGTGGGAGGCCTCTAACTATGCCCAAGCCCTCCAAGAGTGTTTTCTGGCTCAGCCTGCAGAGCCACTCTGATTGCTCGCATTCCTCAGTATTGCGCAGTGGTGAGCAGAGCTCCATGTGGCTGTAGAACCAAATGACGCAGTGTGGTAGCTGGTCTCCAGATGGGCCCCAACGATCCCTCCCCTCCCTGTAGGCATGTGCTACTCCTCACATCAACAGGTGGACCTCGCCCTAGCTGGTTTTGTTCACTGGTTAGAATGTCAGAAGGTCCCGGGTTTGACTCCTGCCAAGGGCACATACCTTGGTTGCAGGCTGCATTCCAGCCCTGGTCAGGGCAGGTGCGGGAGGAAACCAATTGATGTGTCTCTCTCAGATTGATGTTTCTTGCTCTCTCCCTTTTACTCTCTCTGAAAGCAATGAAAAAAATATATTTGGGTGAAGATTAAGAAAAAAAAAAAAGAGGTGGGCCTTGCCTAGCCCACTGGTTGCTCAGTGGTTGAGTGTCAACCAAGGAACCAAGAGGTCACCAGTTTGATTCCAGGTCAGGGTACATGCCAGGGTTGTGGGTTCAATCACTAGTCGGGGCATGCAGGAGGCACCTGATGGATGATGTTTCTCTCTCATCGATGTTTCTATCTCTCTATACTTCTCCCTTCCTCCCTCTCTAAAAATCAATAAAAACAATTTTTTTAAATGTATGCTTATAAAAATATAATTTAAAAAAGAAAGAGGTGGACCTTATTTTTCCTTTGAATCTGGGACGAACTTGTGACTCCTTCTATCAATGCAATGTGATAAAAGTGACATTCTAGGACTTCCAAGGCCATGCCTCAAGAAAGTTGGAGGTTTCTGCTTTCTCTCTCTCAGAACATTTGCTTTTGGATGCTCTGACAGTTCAGCTGCTATGGTGAAGATGCCTAAGATACATGGAGAGGCCAAAGAGGGGAGAACTGGGACTCTCTAATTGATAGCCTCCGCTGAACTCAGCTAACAGCCCAGGTCAATGTCTAGCCACGTGAATGAGCCATCTTCAATGTTCCAGCACAATCAAGCCTTCAGATGTTTGCAGCCCCAGCCAAAAATTACATGTATCAGAAGGACCACCCTGCTGAGTCCAGATAGCCCAGTTCATTGACTCATTAGAGACAATAATATGGCTACTGCTTTAAGCCATGAAATTTTGGAGTAGTTTGTTACATAGCAATAGATGCCCAAACATGCTCCCTTGCCGGGGAGTATGATAGGCTAGAACTCCTTCTCAGAAATCTGTCCCTTAGGGGAAAAAGACCACCAAAAACTACTGATATAACAGCTGCAGCTTTTTGTTGTTGGTTTGTTTTTGTTTTGTTTTTTCTAATTTGGGATTACCTTTGAAAGAAAATTAAGACCAAACAATATAGGAAACCCAAATTACTAAACCTTAGCTTTTGAAATTTCCCAAAAGATTGACATAAATTAAACATGGTTTCGTAATGAAAAATAGTTACCGATTGGTCCTCTGGGTCAGCTCAAAGCCACACAAGATTCAGCTCTAATAGGAGGAAAAAGCCATTGTCCACTACTCAGACTGCTCCTCAGGCTCTGTCCCTGTGGCCTTTTGGGAATGTGCAGCGGGCAGGCACATTGTCTCCTCTCTTTTCACAGAATCGCAGTACCTGACCCTGTCTGCTGCCAAGTCTGTAAGACTCCAATACAGGGAATTGAGTGTCTCTTGGTTCTGACCCTGAGGGGCATGGTGGAATAATAGTTACAAGCAAGGGCTTAACCTCTGCATACAGATCTCCTATCTGGCACTTATTAGTATTTGCAAGTTCTCCTCTGAGTCTCAGTTCCTTCATTTTTAAAATGGTATAATATAGTCATACCATTTTAATTCCTCTGCTGGTATTCTTACTTTTTTTTTTTTTTTTTAGCTATTTTCCTAGTGTTCGTACCAGAGATTACAACATGCATCTTAACTCATCATAATCTAATTCATATTAATACTAAAAATTCTGGTAAATATAGAAACTTTCCTCCAATACAACTCCATTCCCTTCCTGTTCTTTTGTGCTATTATAGTCATAATATACTAGATCTTTATATAATACAGCTTAAAACAACAGAGTTTATAATTATTTGATGCAATCTTATGCCTTTAAAATCAGTTCAGTAAAAGAGAAAAATATATTTATATCTTTCACATTTACCTATGTGTTTACCTTTACTAGTGCTTTTTATTTTTCCATGTGGATTTGCGTTATTGGCTACTGTCAGTTTCTTCCAGCCTGAAGGATTTGCCTTGACACTTCTCTTAAGGAGGGTTTGCTAGCAATAAATTCTCTTAGTCTTTGTTTATCTGAATATGTCTTTATTTTACTATAATTTTGAAATATAATTGTGCTAAATATAGAATCCTTGATTAAATTATTTTTTCTTTCAGCATTTTGATTGCGTCATACCACTGCTTTCTGGCCTCCATCGCTTCTGATCAGAGTCAGCTATAATTGTATTGCTGGTGCCCCTTTGTAATGAGTCATTTTTCTCTTGTTACTTTCAAGATTTTCTTCTTGCGTTTGGCTTCCAACAGTATAACTATAATGTTTCTAGACGTGCATCTCTTTGTTTTATCCTTTTTGGAGTTCATGGAGCTTCCTGGATGCCTGGATTAATGTTTTTCATCAAGTTTGGGAAGTTTTCAACCATTATTTCTCCAAATGATTTTTCTACCTTTTTCTAGCCCCCCTCTCCTTCTGGGACTCCCATATGTGTATGTTGATTTTCTTTATGGCATTCTACAGATATGTGAAGCTCTGTTATTTTTCTCATTTTTTTTTTTCCTGTTTCTCAGACTGGGTAATCATAATTGAACTCTCTTCAAGTTCATTGATGCTTTCTTCTGTCACCTTAGTCTGATGTTTAGCCTCTCTGCCCCAACCAGGATCACAGTTTCAGGCTGTGACATTGTTCCTTTGCCACTAAGATCATTACTGCATCTGACAATGCCCAGGGGTGTGGGCTTTTTATGCTCTCTGATCTATATCAAGCCAACCCCTTTCTTTGGTGAAGCTGCTAGTTTTCACTAGAATTTGTTCATTGATGGAGGAGGGATTGGAGAACAAGTACAGACTCAAGAAAAAACAACACAGATTCCCACTGCTCTTACTCAAGTTCAGTAATTTTTCTTGAATAAACTCTTCTCAATCTTTTGTATGCCTTTGGTTGATTTCCAGGGTCCTGAAATGGATATTATTGACAATTTTGTGGAATTTTATATTTGCTTCTTGCAGAAAGGAATTGCCAAGCTCCTCTCTTCTCCATTCTGGAAACCTGCTCCTATACTAGCATCTTAAGACTATTAATTTCGCCCGGCTGGGCGTGGCTCAGCGGTTAAGCATCGACCTAGATCCAGGCGATCAGGGTTCGATTCCCTGTCAGGGCACATGCCCAGGTTGCGGGCTGCAGCTGATCAATGACTCTCTCATCATTGATGTTTCTAGCTCTCTCTCTCCTTCTCCTTTCCTCTCTCTGAAATCAATAAAGATATATTTAAAAAAAAAAAAAGATTATTAATTTCAATATTACTATTTTTGTGTGTCCACACTACTTGTCTTCTGCATTAGTGGCCTTTGCTAATGAGCCATGCCTCCCAGTTTTCATGCCTTGTGCAGACTCCTTCCCTTCAATCCAGATTAGGCCTTTGACTTGCTTTAAACAGTAGAATGCTGTATTAATAGTATCACCATGTGAGTTCCAGACCTGGGCATTTAGAAGGCTTGGGAGCTCCTGCTCTTGTGCTCTTGGGAGCCCTGAACTGCTATGTATTAAATTCAGCTACCCTGCTAAAGAAACCATGGGGAGAGAACATGCAGCAAGTGTGAGGCTCTAAGACTGGATGGGACTGAGGAATGTAGTTGACAATGAGAAATGAAGCCCAGAAACAACCCAAGTAAAGCTGCTCCAGCCAGCCCCAGCCATTGGGGCCTTTCCAGCTTTGGCACCAGGCATGTGAGTGGAGAAGCCACCTTGGAAGTTCCAGCCCCAGCAGGCATCACGTGGAGCAGAGGGGAGCTATCCTTGTTATGTCCTTCTAGGATTTCTGACCCCCAGAACCATGAGAAGAAGAAGAATTATTATCATACTAAGCTACTGAGTAGTAGATAACAGTTCAAGCAACGGATAATGAAAATATCCAGGTAAATTAACCATATCTGGCCTCCTGTTTCTTGTTTCAGCCCCCACACATCTGTCAAGGTTCAAAAGCCTCCTGGTCTCAACTCATTGGTCCCTACCCAAGTTTTGTTGTGTTCTGAGTACATCACCTGAAGTATATACAACATTCATTTTGCACAATGTTCTGCAGAGAACCCAGCAAAAATAAGCACTTAATAAAAGGCTTCATGCTGATGCTCACAGTTAATATGATCACAAGTCACACCACCTATTAAAGCCCAGGAGACAGACCACTTTTCTCTTCTTAGTCACCACATCATGCCAGCAGGATCAAGGCAACACTTCCGTCTGCCCACCCTTCTATGGCCAAAGGGGCTCACTGCTAAAGCCCGCTGGTTCTAGAACTCTTTCCATCTGTGGGCTTTCTCAATTTCGAGTCTGTTTGGATCAAGGACATTTTGTTTTTACAAAGCCAAGACATCTCGGTTCAGGCGCTTACTTACATGGAAGGAGCTCAGAGTCAATTGAACGAAGAGCCGTATAAGTTTTGAAAATCCTTGAACTTGATCATCAGTGATAAAAGAGAAGAGGATCTCGTGAACGCCCAACAGAGGGATGAGAACCAGCGTGGACTTTGCCAATCTGCAACGACAACCAAACAACTACCCTGATGGCCACATTAGGAACAGGCAACATTCCCTGATCTGTGCATGCCTCTACTGTAGCTGTTAGCGTATTGATGAGCAGTTGATTTTCCAGTTTGTTTTTTGGCTACACATTGATGCCTTAAGGGCCAGTGTGGTCTTGTTCACTGGTGCATTTGAACACCTAACTCATGGCAAATTCTCAGAAAACATGAATGAATGAATGAATGAATGAATGAATGAATGAATGAATGAATTTACCCATATAGATTATGATATAACACCTACACATATATCTACATTTTGCCTGGTGGATAGATTTCCATGCACATGGAAATCACCTGGGGCACTACATCTCTACCAGGTTTGGTAAATGTCCTATTACCTGGCTAGCTGATGCCTCTGTCTCTCTCTTTTCAGGACTTCCAATTTCAGTGCTTTACTCAGCCTGAGAAGGGGAAAAAACACTTGCCCAGGGTCACAGAGCCACCAAGCACCAATTACCTGCCTGGAAGTGAGGCTTCTGACTTCACACTCAGGCCCTGCACACTCTGCACAGGCTCCACCGCCAGCCCCAGGGCTGCCCCTCAACCCTGGCCATGGCCAGGGCTGTAGGAAATGAGAAACTGATCCTCATAAAAAGTGCTGTGTGGAAGCTCCCTGTTGTATACACTCCACACAAAAAAGACAGACATCCTTTGTACCACCCACATGCAAAGTGCACAGCTGGGGCCCAACATTCCATATCAAATACCGGTGCTTCCCAAATATGGCTCGTTGACTATCAGAATTCCTTACAGAGTTATATATACACACACATCTTCCTGGTCCCAGTGATGATTCTCTTAACCAAAACCTCTGGTGTCTGAGTCCTAAGAATGTGAATTTTTAAGGAGCCATCTTTGGAAACAGCTGGTCTTTACCACTGAACTGCTTCTTGATTTAGAACTAACTACATTAGCGATGGTGATTCATAGTCAGGGCACAAACAAAGCTACTGTTTTATACACACTGTGGAAAAAGAGCTTAATTATAATGATTTTTAGCCCAACTCCCTTTCTTAAAGGGCTAGATTAGGGGTTTTTCCCCAAGCCCGGTGGAATTAAAGATGTAGAAACATGGAAGGTCAGCAGTAGCTCATGGGCAGTGTCTTGGGGAAGGTGTAACTCTATCCAAGAGAGAGCAGTGCTTACCATGAATCCTGTGTCTGCTAGCGCCTTCTAAATGCATAGCATCAAGGAAACAAAACAACTCACCTTTATGCTCTAAAAAGCCAGTAAGAGCTGGACAGAAGTCACAAAGAAAGAGGGACTCCACCCAGGCACGTGAGCTGCCGTCCCATGGCCTTGACCGTCAAGGAGTGGCCGAGGAGTGGGAGTCTGAGACTCAGGCCCTGGTTATGTGGTTCACCTGTGCCAAGCTCACGGGTGCTCCTACTTGCAGATCCACCCACGCAGCACTCACTTAGCTAAGTCCCAGGAAGGTGCTCCCAAAGAGAGACTGTTTCAAGAGCATTTTTTGTTGTTTTTAATTTCCAGGAGTGTTATAAAACCTTCTGGAGAGGAGGTTGCAAAATGGCAAACATGAGTTTGTACTCGACTTTCAGATATTTTCTGCTTTTTGTTACTGAAGCCACCTTTGAATGACAAGGAGATTTTAAGCAATGATGCCCAGATTTCCTCTTTTGAAAACTGGTGAGATCGGGCCCAAATTCCTGCCCAGTTGGAAATTATCAGCTACAGCCTGCTGGTGGCTGTTCCCTAGAGGTAGCATGTGCCCTCCAACCCCCAGCCTGCCTGCTGGGCCCTCAAAAGCGTTTGAGTTTGCGATGCTTGCTCTGGGTTACGTTCTTACACGTGGATCCATGTCTTACCATCAACTTATTTTTTTCTTTCTTTTGTTAATCCTTGTCCAAGGATATTTTTCCATTGAATTTGGAGAGAGTGGAAGGGAGGGGGGGAAGGGAAGGGAAGAGAGAGGGAGAGAGAAAGACATTCATTGGTTGCCTCCAGCACATACCCCAACCAGGCCGGGATCGAACCTGCAACCCAGGTTCACACACGCCCTTGACAGGGAATGGAACCCACAATCTTCCTTTGTGTAGGCTGATGCTCTAACCACTGAGCACACCGGCCGGGGCACCATCATCGTATTCTCAGGGCCTTGCTATGGCATTATGCTTTTTGAATAAACCTTAGATTTCAGAATAATTTTAGATGTGTAGAAAAGCAGCCAAGATAGTGCAGAGAGTTCCCAGATACCCTTCACTCCACGTCCCCTAATATTAAAATCTTACATAATCATGGTACATTTGTCAAAACCGAGAGACCAACATATTGGTATGTGACTAAAAACTATAGTCCAGACTTAATTTGAATTTCAGCAGTTTTTCCGCTGCTGTTCTTTTCATGTACTAGGATCCAATCCAAGATCCCATGTTTTGTATGGGATGATTTTTAAAGAATGACCGACCACCTTTGTATAAAGTTTTGGGCCATATTATAACTATCATGTCTTGGGCTGGGTGTCAGAAAGGGTTCCCAGTCCTCACCTCGCTCTTTCTCCTTAGACAAAGTGCTCTTGGTACCTCTGTTCAGATAAAATCAATAAATATCTATAGCAGCCTACTCTCACAAGCTGGGTTTATGCTTATTTTTCATCTTTAATCATTTATTTAAGTGACTTAGTGTGCCCTGGCCGGTGTGGCTCAGTTGGTTGGGCATCTCCTGGTGCACCGAAAGGTTACTGGTTCGATTCCCCGTCTGGGCACATGCCTGGGTTTCAGGCTCAATCCCTGGTAGGGGGTGTGCAAGAGGCAGCCGGTTGTTGTATTGATCTCACACTGATTTTCTCTCTCCCTCTCTCTTCTTCTCTCTCCAAAAATCAATAAAAAAATCTATAAAATAAAAATAAAAACAAATGGCGTACTTTACTGTCGTCATTTAGCTATTCAATAAATATTTACATCTGCTGTGGCACATGAGCAAGTACAGTGGGAGAGGAGGGGCTGGGGGTATCTGGGAACTGGGTTCAAATCCGGCGCTGCCAACTGCTAGCGATGTGGCCTTGGGCAAATTATTTAATCTTTTCACTGGAAAAAATGAGAATTATACAAATAATAATATATAAATATTAAAATTAAAATAAAACATTACTACTAATAAGGATTAACAGATGGTAAACACTAAGAATAAGTGGTGTCTGAAACATGATGAATGATCACTCTAATTTAGCTGCCCCCATTTTTAAAGAAGCCATCCCTGCCCTCAAGTCGCTTACAACCCCAATGACTCTGATGAACTTACTTCCATTTGTGACACTTTTCACCTTTGATTGCCCACCAGAAAGTCCTTTCAGAAAGGGCTCTGGGGTTGAGCATCTTAAGAAATGATTCTCCTTAATAAATTCATTAAGAGCTCTGCCCCATGCATCACATGGACAGTGAAGGCCGTTTATCTGGGGGAAGTGAGCCACCTCCATGCTGGAACCACAAAGAACAGAGCTCTCCGACCACGCCGAGGGGCTGCGGGTGTCTGTCCGCATCCCGGGGCCAGTGCTCCCCCTCAGGTGTGGCTCGGCTCTGGCTCTCCCTCTCCAGGCCAGACAGATGGGCTGGTTAGAGCTTCCTCCACTTGAGTAGTAGAAGCCTAGAAGTGGGGGCTGGGACTCCAGAAGGTTCTCCGGGTCCTAGCAAATGTTTCTTTGGCAAGGTTTAAATGTGTTTAATTCAAACTTTCCTAAAATAGACTCCTGCGGGGGGACCAAATCTTGAGAGCTACATTCTGAAAGTTGTCAACATCTGGGAAAGTTGGAGGTAGGGCTGTTCCTGCCGGAGTTTGTCACCCCGCTTCTCCTTACCCTAGCAGAGGGCTCCAACGGAAAACAAATGTGGAAGGGATGTGGAAGAGGACAGTGGGCGCAGGCCATGCTGGTGACTGTGGTGGTGACAGGAAGCAGCCCTCCCAGAACTTGGAGGTGAGGGAGTCAGCACGGCTTCGAGAGAAAAGCGGGCAAGTGTGCTCATCGCTGCTGTAGGATCCACCAGCCCAGGGAGTAAACTAAGGTGGCCTAGTATGTCCCAAGAGATAGGGCCCTGACATTTTGCTAATTAATACGCATAAGCTAATCAACTTCACTGTACTGTGCAATTGAAAGAGTCAGTAAACAGAAAGCAGATGGTCAACCAGAATGGCAGGAAATGTCACCAAAAAGCAGGAAGTGCCCAGAACTTATCCAGCTCTACCTGGGGAGACTGGGGAGTGAACTTCCCTCTCACGGGGTAGGTGGACTCAGCCACCAGGTAGGTGGACAGTGCTGGTTTCTCAGGCCGCCGTCAAGGATCCTCATCACCAGTCACTCTGCTTGGATGCCATGATCACCAATAATATTCTAGTAACCGCTCTGTGTTTCTGGATCTTCTAGAAGGCACTAGAAGGAGCCCCTAACCACCCCCACTTTCCACAGTCTCTAAGAATGAATAGTTGTACAGACTTGTTTATATATTAGTCTCTTGTGAGTTCAGTTGGCATCAGTCAGCCCACCAAAATCTCAGCCTCTTGGGAACACTCATAGGTTCCCTGTACCGTCCCCAGGTGGTGGCAAACTTGCCAAGAGGAGGGGTCTCATCCTGGAAGGCCTCCAGGTAGGCATGCACCCAGGTTCCCCTTTTCAAGCCCGTCCCTTATATAAGAGTGGGGAAAGGAAAAAGAAGTTCTCAGACACACTGTGTACATCAGACACCTTTACCCTTTCTCTCCCCAAAATAGCCATTTTAAATCACTGTTCAGCCATGAGGGTCTCCCCAGTATCTTTATTCACACTTCCCTAGATCCTTGGCTCCCAATGGGGTGTCACACGCCAGTGCTGTGCAAGGCGATCCATTTGGTATTGGAAGAAAATATGATCAAAGAAAGTAGAAGCTCTGTGTATATTAATTTTTACCCATCCTTTATAATTTTCTGTATTTGGGTGTATGTTATAATGTATATAATAGTTCAGCAGACCATGTGTATAGATGATGAGGGTCATGCTCAAAATTTCTTTACTAATGTAGATGCGTGAACAGAAAAGTTAGGAAACCAGTATCTTGGATAACTCTGAAGGAGACCTCAGAAAAGAGATATCAATCAAAGCTGCTTAGAAACACATTTGCCATGGCCCAACCAGAAAATGCCATGCCTAGTTCCCCTAGAGCATCTGATCCAGTGGTCCCCCCATCTGGCTATGTCCCAGAATCTCCTGATAACTCAACTGTAAGAAGCCCAACGATGGGACTCCAGCCCTCACTCACTGAGTCAGGATACTCCGTGGGGGGCTCACCAGATTTTGCTTTTGGCCGACTGTCAGGAGGTGCTTAGGAGCAGCCAGGATGGAGAGCCACCATAAGGACTGCTGTGGGTCTGGAGCATGGGAAGACCACGTGCTACATGGTGGGCGTTGGTGGCACAAAATAACAGGTTTAGGCTCTCAGGCTTTGTGGAAGGCAGTGCTTTGGCATTTGCTTGCTTCCTGTTTCTGTCTCCTGGGAATGCTGTCTCCTGTTGGGTTTCCAGGGTGCTTGGGTTTCCCCTGAGCCTGGTTAGTGAGAGAATTGCTCCCCCAAACGGGGTAGATGAGAGTAGCTCTGCTCTTGGCCTTGGACCTCCCCCCTCAGCGAGCGGTAAGAGAGGCTGAGCCTTGGGAAAGGAACCAGAGAAACTGTCAGCCACTTGGAGGCTTGATCAGAGGCGCCAAGGACAGCGAGGCTCTGTGTGGTCCAGGCCAGCCCAAGTGGCCCATGGGTGGTTTGCAAAATACTTGAGCCAACTACAATATATACTTCTCTAGTCCTGAGCCATGTGTGACTATCCTTCTGACCTGGAGGAAGGGTTTTAGGTAGTTAGGACTTGGGGTCTGAATCCTGGGCAAATACCACTCACCACATCCGATTAGACTGGGACCCCTGTGTCTATGACCTTTACCCTCCCTAGGAGGAGGTGTGGATTCCCACTCTACAGAAAACAGGCCCAGGAAGGCCAAGTGACTTGCCCAAGGTCAGTGGGTGAGTCTGGGGTCATGGCCAGCACCAGCCCTCCTGACGCTCGTTCCTAACCAATGTCCCAGTCCTTGGCAGGTTAGAACCTGTGCTCCTTGTGACAGGGCCCACATTGCATTTACCTTTTGTTCCAAGCACAATTTCAGGCACAAACATTCATTACATGTTTGTCCAATAAATGGAAAAACTACCTTCCTGCACACCTGAGACAGGCCCCGTTTTGGCCTTAGAGAGAGAGAGAAACAGGTGCAGCCATCCTCACTCACACCTCCGCCTCTGTCCTGCCACATGGACTAAAATCCCTACCCTGAGAGCTACTTTTTTGGGTTAAAACATTCCTTTCCCAAGAGCCCTGCTGAAGGGGACATGTCTCGTAGACAGCAAAGAGTAACTGGAAAAGGAAGGAGGGGTCTCTATATGCCATTCATTCATTTGTTCATTCATTCATTCATTTGTTTTTACAACAATGCAGATCTCAGTACCTATGATCTGACTTGCTGTGAACTGGGGCTGCTGTCACTGTGGAAAGCAGAAGATGGGACGTAGCAAAGGCAAGCCACAAAGGAAAAGTGACTGTGTGAAGGCTGCATTTCCTTGGACTCCCAAAAGTTTGTGGTCTTATATCCCAAGGTTTTAAAAATACCCAAATATGCTCTTCTGAGTTATGAATATGCCTTTTATTCTGTGACCTCAAATCCCTCCCAAAGGTAAGCGACTATCTAACTTCCCTTCATGTGACCCTTTCCTTTCCCTGTAAACCATTCTTAGGAGCATTTCAATAGATTCCTCCTGGGGAAATGTGTGTGCCCTTGACAACGCACCACTTCATTTTCATGAGGCCAGAAAGTCCTCACCATTGGCAAAAGCCTTACATGATCCCACGACTCCTTTTTCAGAGCAACCCTCCCTTCCACCCTTGTTTTAAGAGATAAACATACCAATGCAACTTGTTCCCTGCTGCAGCACTGGCCAGAACAGCCAGAAGGGGTCAAGACAATCTCAGACTATTGGATACTGACCTCAGGCCACTCACCTGTATTTATAATCTCTGAAGCACGTTTGATGGGCTTTGAGCTTAGAAATGAGAAGCTTGAGAATTTTCAGGAAGATGAAGAAATTGACCTTGAAGAAAAAGCAGACACCGGTAAGTGATGNTAATCTCTGAAGCACGTTTGATGGGCTTTGAGCTTAGAAATGAGAAGCTTGAGAATTTTCAGGAAGATGAAGAAATTGACCTTGAAGAAAAAGCAGAGACCGGTAAGTGATGGGCTCCATATGGCTATGAACATTGAGTCACTCTGGGCCTGGCCATCAGATCCTTGTCCATGCAAACGAGGGGCAATTTGGCGGTCAGCAGTTAGGTAGTAAGAACTTGCAGTAACCTCCACTCTCCCTAAGGCCATCTCAACCGAAAGCCGGGAATGGATCCCAAAAAGGCATTTAGTGTATTTTTCTGCCTCAGGGATGCCCACCACTACAGCCATCTAAGAAAGGTGGATGGATGCTTACATGATCATTATTAACTAATAATATTTATTAAGTACTTACCATGCCAGGCATTGGCTAACTTTCCATACATTATTTTATTTAATCCTGACAACAACCCTCTGAGGAGCCATGCTATTTTATGACATGACACAATGAGAAAACAGAGGCACAGAGGAGACAAGTACAGTTCCCAAGGTTGCACAGCTAGTAAGTGACTGAGTCAGTAATTAAATCGAGATTTATCTGATTACAAACTTCCTTTCACTTAAAAAAAAAAAAAAAGAAAAAAGCCACACAGCCTCCCTTCTGTAAAGAACTTCCTGCTGCTGCCACAGAATTCACTGGAAAGCATATATTCTCCACTATTTAGGCTACTTTCTATAACTGTATGAACTAAAAAAATTCAGCTCTTCATTATCAGCTTTGGTAGAAATTTTAAAATATGTTTATAAATTCTTTGACACCTCTCCCATCAAAAGGTTGAGCCTAATGTACCCCTTCCCTTGGGGTGTGAGCTAGACTTAGTTATTTGCATCTAAAGAAAAAAATATGGTGAACGTGATGCGATGTGACTTCTACGGCTAGGTCCTCAAAAGGATGGCTTCCATCTGATGTTTATCTGTCTCTATTTCTGGCTATTTATCTATCTTCTCTCTCTCTCTCTCTCTCTCCCCTCACTCTTTGTTCATTCTGGGGAAAGCCTGCCGCCATGTTGTGAGGAAGCTCAAGGAGCCTGCTGAGAGACCCACATGGAGGAGTTGAGTTTTCCCACCAACAGCCAGCATCACTCATCAACCAGCACCACTTGCCAGCCGTGTGTATGAGCCACCTCAGAAGTTGATCCTTTAGCCCCAGTCAAGCCTTCATGTGGCTGCAGCCCTGGCCAACATGTTGACGGCAGCCTCGTGAGAAACCATGGGTCTCCTGGGGAGGCAGAAGAGCAAGGGGTTGGGTGTGGGCAGGGCTCAGAGAATGAGAACAAGGTTTGTGAGAAGTGATACTGGGGACAGAGGGAGGACCACTTCCTCCAGAGCCTTTCACGGTCACACTGAGGACTTTGGGTTTTCTTTTGAAGGCAACGGAGAGCCACTGGTGAATTTTCAGCAGGCAAGTGTGAACTGATCAGATTTCCATTCTGAATTTTAGGAAGATCGTTTTGGTATCAATGTGGACAATGGGCTGGACGAAGGCAAGTGGGAGGACAGGAGACCACCTGAGAGGCAGTCTCAGAGTTCCTGGGGGAAGATGACAGAGAAGCAAGTAAGGCAATAGCCCTGGTGCATCAGTGATGGCGAGGAGGAGATGGGTTCAAAATCATTAACAAATTTCGGTCAAGTGAGCTTAGTTACTTGTTGGATAAGGGGGTCAAAGATGACCCCAAAGTTTCTCAGTAGATCTCAAATGTATGGTAGTGCCATTCAGCAAGAGAGTGAGCACGTGGAGGAGGCACATTGGAGGGAGAAGGGGGAAACGTCCAGTAATTTTGTCCATGAGATGTCCCAAGGCAGTGAGACAGTGATTTCTGGACCTGAGCAGGGGGGTTCCAGCCAGAGCAAGGGCCCATTGGAGTGGGTGAGATTATCTAGGGACACACTGTGTAGGCCGGGAGGAAAGGAGGCTAAGAGAACCACCCTGTCACAAAGAGAGAGGCTGAGACAGTGGAGACAGCAAAGAAGGCCGGGAAAGAGTAGCTGGGGCGGTTGGAGTGAACCACGAGGAAATGGAATCCTGGTAGCTCACAAAAGGGAGCGTTTTAAGAAGATTTAAACTCGACATGAAATTTCAGTAAAATAAGACAGCATTTAGCAACAAGGAGTTTACTAAGAGAAGCTGCGGTTCAAAGGTGGGAGCATGAGCCACCTGCAGGGCTTTGTCTTGTGAATGAAACATGAGAGGGGGAGGCAGCCCAGGTGGACCACGTGGCAGAGGCGTGGCTGCAAGGGGGGGCAGGCTGATAGAGCAGCAGATGACAGGGATGCAGAATGGAGACAGTGTCTCCCCGCTTCTAGTTGCAGGGCTGCTAAAGGATTCTGATTGTAGTTGTTCTTAAAATTGAAAAGATTTAAGGGAAAGGATCCAAGATGGTAGGGTAGGTGGACTTTACACTCATCAAAATTACATCTAAATTACAGAACAATCGACCTGGATAACCATCTGGTCTAGCTGAACAGTCTTAGAACTAAAGATACACAGAAGAAGCCACGTCAAAACTGTTAGGCGGGCAGAGAGTCGGAAAGGCCTGGCCCTGCAATCACGTGCAGCAGTTGAGAATCCAGACGGATATCTGGCTGCAGAGCCCCCCACTGAGGAGGGAGGCGCCAAGACCCCATGGCAGTCTCCCCAGCTCAGAGGAGCAGTGCAGGAAGAGGGGACCACATAACATCTGGCTGTGAGAATTGGCAGGGATCCTGTCTGCCCGGGTGAGACAAAGACTACTGGAAATCCAAGCGCCCTCTTAAAGGGCCAGGGCACAAAGTCTCACTCCCGGCACTCTCCCTGGGCACTCGCCCTGGGCACCGGCAGACGGACAGTGACTCAGAAGGGAGAGGAGTAGATTGAGTTGTGTGGCTTTGGAGAGAGGGCTAGAGGGACAGCTGCCAATTCCTTGTGCTGAGTCCCTCTCCCACGTCACTCACACATGCCGTCTTTCCTGGGGCAAGCATGCAGCTTTGGCCTGGGGAGCAACACTCTACCCTGCCCACTCCTTGATGCCACGGGCCTGCCAAGCTCGCACATGGCTGTGGGATCTGCTGGCAGCAGTGAGCCTGGGTCTGCATTGCAGCCTTTCTTGAAAAACCCTCAAGAAATTCTGAGCAGACTCAGGGAGTGCCAGAGACATGTAAGGAAAGACTGAGTGTTAGCTTCGGAGTGAGGGCCAACTGTGGATCACCCTGTAGCTCATAACAGATTGCCTAGGGTCAGTCACAGGCAACATCTGACATTGACCTGCACTGGAGTCCCTCCCAAGAGGTCTTAGAACCAACACATCTAGTGGCTGGCTTTAGACCACATCAGAACATGACCTAATTGGCTCTACAAGCAGCACACCCAAAAGGAGGTCTTCGCAAACAGCAGACCCTGCTGGGGAAAATCCATTTCATGGGATCAACTCCCTACACAGCAGCTGGTACACTATGGCTGGGGATCAATCCTCACAGTCAGCCAGCCTGAGGGTCAACTCCATGCAGAGACCATACAGCAGTCAAGACTCAACTACAACAGGAGGGTTCATATCAAGAAAGAAATTAAAGGAGATACAAATGAATGGAAGCATATACTGTGCTCATGGATAGGAAAAATTAGCATTGTTAAAATGTCCACACTGGACCTAGCTGTTTTTCCTCAGTGGTTAGAGCTCCAGCCTGAGGGTCTGAAGGGTCTCAGGTTTGATTCTGGTCAAGGGCATGTACCTTGGTTGCAGGCTCAATCCCTGGCTCCAGTCAGGGAGGCAACCAATTGAGGTGCCTCTCTCACATGATGTCTCTCTCTCTCTCTCTCTCTCTCCCCCTCTCTCTCTCCCTCCCCTTCCACTCTCTCTAAAAATCAGTGGAAAAAATATCCTTGGGTGAGGATTCATAACAGCAGCAAAAAATGCCCATACTACCAAAGCAATCTATAGATTCAATGCAATTCCTATCCAAACACAAATGTCGTACTCACAGAACTAGAACAAATTATCCAAAAATATATATGGAACCACAAAAGACCTTGAATAGCCATTCAATCTTTGGAAAAAAGAACAAAGTTGTTGGTATCACATTACCTAATATCAAACTATACTACAAGGCCATAGTAATCAAATCAGCATGGTATTGACATAAAAACAGACATAGAGCTCAATGGAACAGAATAGAAAACCCAGAAATAAGCCCATGCTTATGTGGTCAATTAATATTTGATAAAGGAGGCAAGAACATACAATGGGGTAAAGACAGTCTATTCGATAAATGGAGTTGGAAAAATTAAACAGATACATGCAAAAAAAATAAAACTAGACTACCTTCTTACATCATATACAAGAATAAACTCAAAACGTATTAAGAACTTAAATGTAAGACATTTCCCTCAGCAATGTTTTCTCTGATGTATTTCCTTGGGTGAAGAAAACAAAAGAAAAAAATGAACAAATGGGACTAAAAACTAAAAAGTTTATGCACAGCAAACAAAACAAAAAGACAACCTATTAAATGGAAGAAGATACTTACCAATGATACATCCAATAAGGGGTTAATATCCAACATTTATAAAAGCTCAAGACAACTCAACACCAAAGAGCAAACAAACAATTCATTTAAAAAGTGAGCAGAGAACCTGAATAGACACTTCTACAAAGACTTCATACAGATGGCCAGAAGACATATGAAAAGATGCTCAACATCACTAATCATCAGAGAGATGCAAATAGAAACCACAATGAGCTATCACCTCACACCTGTCAGAATGGCTGCCATCGATAAATCAACAAACAATAAGTGCTGGCGAGGGTGTATAGAAAAGGGAATCCTTGTGCACTGTGGGAGTGCGCAGATTGGTGGAGCCACTGTGGAAAACAGTATGGAGTTTCCTCAAAAAATTAAAAATGGAAGTGCCTTATGACCCAGTGATTCTACTTGTGGGCATATATATCCAAAGAA